CTAAAACTAACCACAGATACATGTCCAACCCTAACCCCTTACCTAAAACTAACCACAGATACATGTTTAACCCTAACCCCTTACCTAAAACTAACCACAGATACATGTCTAACCCTAACCCCTTACCTAAACAGATACATGCCTAACCCTAACCCCTTACCTAAACAGATACATGCCTAACCCTAACTTCTACCTACACAGATGAAGCTGAACTCCAGTTTTTCTCTTTCTCATAGTCTAAATATAAATATTTATTTGTCAGGGTCAGGTGCCAAGAACTTAGTTATTATAAACAAAAACAAAAACTCTAACAAGATAGCAAAACTAACAAAGAACTGATAAACAAAAAAGAAAGACGCATAAAACGAACCCAGCTATAAAACATAACAGACGAAAAATAAATTAAAAATAAAACACAGATCATGACATTCATGCGCCAAAAACAGAAAAAAAATATAAAGATACAGAATTAGTGATTTTTTTCCTTCTTAAATTAAAAACCCACTTCATTCATTTTGGGTGTATTCCTGTATACCAGAACAATCTACAAATATATTTGTGAAACTACTTGAATAAACTCATTTAAACTGCACCATTTGACAGAGTTCAGGACAGACATTTTATATTTGATTCAGTAGTTTGGGACAATTACTTCCTGAAGGTAAAAACGAGAGAAAAGCTTTTGTAACAAAATACAATGAGACATAAAAACCTTAAAGATCTCAACCGGCAACAATCGGAACAAATTGAAAGATTTCCATCCCCCTCACACAACCACAGCGTTGCTCAAAGTGTTGCACACAAACAACCAGAGCAGGTTTGTAGAAGTCACAGAGATCCTACCTGATGCTTTCTGAACGTGTGCACCAGAGTGCCGTTGACACAGATGACGGCGAGGGAGAGGACCACAGTAATCACATTCTTGGCTATGGCTACGCTCAGGGGGTCCCGGGTCACAGAGGTTGTGATGTTCATGTCAGGGATCAGAGAACTCAGATGTTAACTGATGACATGTTCTGTCAAACTGGAGAGAAACATTCATCAGATTGTGTAATAACAGGAGAATCAGAGTTACAAACATGGTCAATAACTATTAATATTATCGTTAATGATTGGACTAAAATATTGCACACAAGCACTGATCTAAGGTAAATGGTAAATGGCTTCAACAATGTAATTTAATACTTCATTATTATTG